TCATATCTACTATTGTGGACAAGAATCCCGTAGAAGGAATGGAGTAGCCCTCATAGTCAACAAAAGAGTGGGAAAAGCTGTAATGGGATACAATCTCAAAAATGATAGAATGATGTCAATACGAGTCCAAGGCAGACCTTTCAACATCACAGTAATCCAAGTTTATGCACCAACCGCTAATGCTGACACAACTCCGGGAAGCAGTAGAAGACAGGAGGGCATGCCGTACTCTGGTCCATGGGGTCACAAAGAGTCGGACATGACTAAATGACTAAACAACAACAACAACTTTAGAGCTAAAGGAAATAACAGTGAGGTGCATGAAATCTACCATGGGCAAGAGAAAGTCAAAAGGGAGAAACTGTTCTCCAGCTTCATCATTAGATTACAGCGGACTGTAAGGAAGCACAATGATTAAGGTGGAGGATGGGGAAAAAACTCATCTCACCCCAGGAGAGGGAGAGAATGGGAAAGTGGGGCAGTCCCATAGTTAAGGCAGCTCTGCCAGATTTTTCCATCTGTGCTTCTTGCCTTCCAGCAGCAGCGTATCCATTCGATTGTGACAACATGAATGACAAGAAGAAGGGCTACTTCACAAGCTTTTCCTGAAATACCGGCTCCCTCCTCTTGACAGATTTTGGAAGTTCAGTACTAGGGACAATGTCACTTGAATAAATGGGCTTACTTTGGTTTTCCCTTCTCTGCTTTGCCAATCCATTTATGGAATTAGAAGACAAGAGGACAGAGTCTCCCTGATCATTGATCCTTGTAAGCCTCTGTACACCCATGTGAAACTATGGGTGTACAGTGTTGATAGAACTGAGGGAGTGTAGAAAAAGGAGCCTGGAAATAAAGTAGTCTTAGAATTGAGGTTTGAACAGTAGCTCACTGTGGTCATAGTAAAACAATTAGCCAGCTAGCCAGCCAAGCAAGGTTCCTATGCCATAGCAATCCAGAAAGCTGAACAGAGTCATAGAGTTGGAAGAGACCACTGAGGTCATCCAGTCCAACCCCCCACCATGTGGAAACATCCATCAAAGTACTCCCAACATATGGCTATCCAGCTTCTGCTTACAAACCTCCCAAGAAGGAAACTCCACCATCCTTCGAGGCAGCCTATTCCACTGCCGGACAGCTCTGACCGTCAAGAAGTTCCTCCTAATGTTCAGATGGAATCTCTTTTCCTGTAGTTTGAAACAGTTACTCCATGTCCTAGTCTCCAATGCCGTGGAAAACAAACCTGTCCCCTCTTCAACATGACATTAAAACAAACCTGCCCCCTCTTCAACATGACATTGTTTCAAATATTTAAACATGGCTATAATGTGTGTGTTGTGTGTTTAGTCGTTTAGTCGTGTCCGACTCCTCGTGACCCCATGGACCAGAGCACGCCAGGCCCTCCTGTCTTCTACTGCCTCCCGGAGTTGTGTCAGGTTCATGTTGGTTGCTTCGCAGACACTGTCCAGCCATCTCATCCTCGGTCGTCCCCTTCTCCTCTTGCCTTCACATTTTCCCAACATCAGGGTCTTTTCCAGGGAGTCTTTTCTTCTCATTAGATGGCCAAAGTACTGGAGCCTCAGCTTCAGGATTTGTTCTTCAAGTGAGCATTCAGGGTTGATTTCCTTTAGAATTGATAGGTTTGTTCTCTTTGCAGTCCAGGGGATTCTCAAGAGCCTCCTCCAGCACCACAACTCAAAGGCATCCATTCTTTGGCGGTCTGCTTTCTTTATGGTCCAGCTCTCACTTCC